ATCTTTTTTTTTTTTTTTTTTTTTTTTTTTAGCGTGTTAGCAAGTCTAGGTACTGTATAGTTTGTTTGTTTGTTTTTTTTTTGTTTTTTGTTTTACTGGGTTGTTGTGTTGCTGTGTGCGCCGTTGTTGACTGTATTTGTGCATTTATGGAGTCTAACTGAGTTTATTCGGCTCGTTTGCAGTTATGATTTATTTTTTCCTTTTTTTTTTATTTATCATGTTACCAATTTTTGTAGTTGGTCATGGGGTTGTGTGTGATCCGTGGTAGAAATACGTAAGATGGGTGTGTAGTTCACCTAAATTTAACGTGTTTTGAGGAACAAGTTATGCTCGTCTATGCAATGCAGTGACAGTTTCGTGTGCATTTTAACTGGATAGGAATATCAAGTGACGTGAATTAATATGGAGTGATAACCCTACCCAATTAAATTCCACTCTAACACACTATATTCTAGCACTCAATTTCACAAACATGCAATACAATTTTGCACACATTCTATCAGAATAAATTCATAATCACAAAGAAATTAAACGTTGATGCTTACGAAGTCTACTTGTTGCCTCAATCGATGCACGCCGGTGACTTCTTCTTGGAGTTCCGTTCGCCATAGCTTCGTGCTTGCTAACCGGTGACTTCTTCTCCGATCGTCGCACTGTTCTCTTCTCTTTCTCTGTCGTGGATGTTGTTCCCGCTATGTTTATTGTGCACTGTTCTTCTCCGGTGTTTTTATTTTTATTTTTTAATATTTTTCGTCGCTTAATATCGCACTGACACAATGATAATTCACAACGTTGCACAAACCACTCCTGGAAACTTGTCCATACTTGCACATTGTACTACTTCACCGATGCACAAGTACTGAACCGTGAAAAACCATGAAGCAAAACTTTAATATTAATTAACGAGTGTTCGATGTTGTTAAAAATTAACACATTCCCTTAAATTCGTACTTCCAATATGCAATCCTCTTTAATGCACAATCCATCACACGTGTAATATGAAAAATAATAATCTTAATACATTCATTGCTTTTGCATTTTTGCACTTTGGTTCAACTCGCGGATGCACAACCTCTGTTTTGCATGTGGGAACGTACTTCCTATATTTTCACAGTTATTACACTTGCAAATAAATAAACTCATTTAATATTCAAACAGAGATTACAACTTTAAGTTAATTTATCGTTTCAAACGTTGCGAATTCGTATTCGGAAGCATCGTTTGTTTGTGTGTTTTCTACTCGTGTAGCTCGTACTAGCGGACTTATAAAATCATCATCTAGGCTCGAATTAATGGCATTCGATGTTGCATGTTGTGTTCTTTTTGCATTCTTGCCTGCAAAATGGAGTTAACTTCAATTACCCAAACCACTGCATGTCGTCACAGTTCCGGCATCCCAGACCCACCACCACTCCAACGGTTGAATCCACCCCCATTACCAGCGTTTTTAGTAAAAAACACAACAAAAATAAAATAACAAGAACAGAAACCACACAATCTTCTTCATTCGCGTAACACAGACAGCAGAGCCATAAATTTTTTTTATACACAAATAATAATAATAACCCAAAATTGCATAGAAACAAACCATTCGAACATGGAATTTCACAAAAATTCTTTCCAATTTTACATGCAAGTTAGCGACAAAAAAAAAAAAAAAAAATCCAAAAACATTAACAAGGTTTCGCTTACGGAATTTGCTCGTTGCCTCAACAGATGCACATCGTTGACTTCTTCTCGAGGTTCCGTTCGCCATAGCTCCTGATTGTGTACTATCTCCCACCGCTTCAACTAGTCGTCGCTTGAGCTCTCGGTTTCGTCCATGGTGAATGTGCAATCCCGACAGCTTCCCAGAACTTCTGCCGTTTTAACCCTACGCGTTCCTCCCCAACGTTTCGCTCTTTCCTTTATTTAATTGCACAATCAATTTTGGTTTTACCCTTTTACCCCTTCTATTAATTACTAGTAAACTTAGTTACCAAAATTTCACTACGCGTCAATTGACTCCTTGTGCAATCGGGGCCGTTAATTGGCCTGATCTGATGGCTGCAATTTGACCACAATCCTCACCTAATACCCTGGCCTCACTTGAACCTCACCCTATATATATATATATATATATATATATATATATATATATATATATATATTGCAGATTGAAATTCGTATAGGTGGGGACCATTGTTGTTTCTTTATGCATATACATGTGTTGGGGTGGGGACCATTTTTGTTTCTTTCTATAAATTATTATTTCTTTATTATTTGCTAAAGAATTTGTTTGCAGTATATATAATAGAACTAATAGAAAATTGCACTATCTTTATCATTGAAATCAGGAATATTTAATATTAATTTAAGACATGGAGGAATGATAATTCAAGTTACCAGCTAAATATATTGGTGGAACTGTTAGTTCATTTACAAATATGGTAGAAGATGAGTGGGAGTTGATTTGTTTAAAAGAGAAGCTAAGTGAAATTGGGTATAGCATGGATGAGGCTTTGAGGTACTTCACTGTCACTTGAAAATGGGTTGCAAGAATTGGTGCAAGACTGGAGTTTGGGATTTAGTTTAACCTATCTTTTAGTCCCATGGTCATAGAAATTTGGATTGTAAAAGGAGTAGTTGGTGATGATTGCAGTAATAATGGTAGTGATGATGACAATGGGGAGGAAATTGATGGCAGTGAAGATGAATTGATTTCATCAGACTTAGGTAATGATGATGAAGACTTTGTTAATAACATAGATGTGAATGTAGAGTATGGAGGATTAAGTGATGTAGAGGTCCAACACCCAAAAAATGCTAACAGTAGGCAGTCTATGGTATGTGGTGAAATAGACTACTCTGATAAAGGAAGCTTGGTTGGCAGTGATGATGAGGTAGAAGGAATGAAGTGGCCTAAGTTTTTGAAAGAGGTAGAAGGTAAATGTCCTAAATTTTCATTTGGATTGACCTTTAAAGATAAGGGAGAGTTTAGAGAAACTATTACAAATTATGCAATTAAAGAAGGGAAAGAAATGAAATATGAAAAAAATGACAAAGTTAGATGTGTTGTGAAGTGCAAGCATGAGAGCTGTCCATGGCAAGTTACCCTTAGGTATGCTAGAGATGACAAATGTTGGAGGGTAACTGTTTTTAAGGATAAACATGATTGGTGTGTTAGGACTAAAATAAAATGCAATGGTGAATTCCACCATTGTTGCAAAAAGATGGAAACAAGAAATTAAAGGCCATTTGGATTGAAATACAAACCAGTTTTTAAAGAAAGTGTGCATTGATGACCATTACACAATAAGTAAGAAGCAATCATGGAGGGCTTTAACAAAGGCTAAAGGTGAAATCAACTGTGAGGCTGAGGACTATTTCAATAGGATTTGGAGCTACTGCAAGGAAATTCAAAGAACAAATCCCATGACTACATGTGTTGTGAAGTTGAGTGACATGCTAGAGGATGGGAAACAAAGATTTAGGACGATGTATACAGTGTGGATTTGGGTAGTAGGTCTTGTACTTGTAGGAGATGGGATCTAACTGGAATCCCTTGTCGGCATGTTGTTTGTGCAATACGGATAAAACATGGGAAAGGACCTGTTTGGCATTATGTGGATCCTTGCTACTATGTTTCCACATACTTGAAAATATATGAGGGTTGTATAAAGCCTATGTCTGGTTATGAAGAGTGGCCTGCCATAGATAGAGAACCTCCATTGCCACCAGTGTATAATGCTAAACCTGGAAAACCTAGAAAATTGAGGAAGAAGTATGCAAGTGAGACAAGTAAATCTGGTCAGACAAGTAAAGCTGGTGAGACAACAGAAGATGGTGTTTACTTGACAAGGAAGCATGTTCGTTTACATTGCACAAAATGCAAACAAGCAGGTCATAACAGCAGAAAGTGTCCACAAAATTCAACTGTTAGACCTCCAAATCAGGTTACATACTTTCATATTCTGTTTATTAGTTAACCATCTACTATTTAAACTTTTCATGGTTGTTATTAATTAACATTTAACTCTTAATAGTAGGCAGTCCATGTTACAGTCCAGCAGGCAGTCCTAGAAGCAGTCCAAGTTCCAGTCCAAGTTCCAGTCCAAGAAGCAGTCCAAGATGTAATTACTCAGCCTGAGGTAGAAGATAACCAATGGGAGATTCCAGATGAGATGTTGGATGCTCACGGGCATCAAGTACTACCTAATAGTGAGGGCAATGATGGAGGTAATTTTTTATTTATTCACTTTACTCCAATGAATGGATTCATTAATCATAGTTATGACATTCTTGACAAATATGTCTTGTAGGGATTTCATTAAGTAGAACTAATAGAATTGAAGACACTCCAGTACAAGCATGTTGCCAGGATCATACTAATGGTTAGTTTCAGTCCATTCATTAGATTTCAACATTTTTAGTTTTGTAAATTTCATAAATACTCTCATTATGTGCAGCTCAACAAGGCATGACAAGTGTTAGAGACATGCCACTAAAAAAACCAAGAAGGAAGAAACTCCCAATCAAGAAGTATTCTACAAGATCAACCTCATTCAAGTTCAAATTCTTTGGGAATGACAAAGATCCAATCAATTTGGATTAACTCATGTTTAGTTACTATTTTTTTGAATACTATGTATTTTGGTATTGGAAATACAATGGTCATTTGGTTTAGTTACTGCAGTATGTATTCCAGGTTTTGTAACAGAAAATAGAATGTATTTTGCTACTGAAAATGGTGGAAATGGTGTATTTGGTCATATTCTAATAAAGTGGTTCACAATCTTGTGGATTTGGTCATATACTGAAAATGCATTTGCTACTGGAAATGGTTATCACAATCTTATCACAATGGTTCATTTTGCAACTGGAATACAAAGTGGTCATAATTATAACATATTGGAAATGGTAGTTCATTACAAAACAATCTTACAAATTGTAGGACCATAGTGTTTTCCTTACACATAACCACTACTACTATCCAACATAATAACCTTATTTTTTCTATACCTAGGTGCATTGAGTGTTATAACTACCAACAACAAAATGCATATCACAATCACTATCCTAGTACATTTCCAATTACTACCACTGCTTCTTTGCGCATCAACCTTAGCACAATCTTTTAGCCTCATTTTAAGCCTTGCTATTTCTTCTTCATTTCGATTAATCCTTCTCAATAGTCCATAAATAATTCTTCTTGACCTTGCACACATCGGAAGATCATACTATCTAACAAAACCACACATTTGCCCTCCCTAAACAAAAACCACAAAATTGAATAATTTTTTTTTTAAATTCTAACTATGAAGATTATGCAGGAAAAAAAAAACCCTAACCAACAATTAATATTCACATTTTCGAATCGACACTCTCAATACTTTCTACCTAAATTATCATTCGTCTAAGATGTTTGTAGCTTCAATCGTTGGCCACATTGACAGTTTGGAATGGTAACGAACTCACCATAGATGTATCCTTGATTCCTTGAAGATGAAGAGCTTTCACTAGTATACCTTGTTGACATTTCAATAATGGAGGAACCACCCTATATTTTGGGCTAAGAGAGAAGAAAAATTCGTTACCACAGTGAAAGAAGAAGGGTAGGCAAGCAAGAAGATAGCAATGGAGTTTTGGGTGTATTGATGGTGTGGTAGGCATATATTATAGGTCTGGATACGTATACTCACGAGAAAGAAAAAGCAATTAAGGAAATGACTACAATACCCCTCTACTTAACTCCACCCTAACTGATGTTTGACGGAAGAACCATTGTTGGAAGCCTTGAACAAATATGAAAGTCAAGTGTCTTATTTGTCCAAATTAAAAGGCGAGGATCAATTTTGAAAAATCGTAATAGTCGGAAGACCATTGCTGGAATTAACTCATTAAATAAATCATTATACTCTGGATCACTGATATATATGTTCATTTTTAATATATTATATGTTTATTTGTTTATTTTTTTGAAAGGATTATATGTTTATTTTTTTAATTCCATTTCAATATCATTCTTTCAAAAGGCTGAACCCCAACCCTAAGGGCCCCCCACACCCCGACCCGACAGAGCATATCAATGCACTTATCCGGCATTACTTACCTAACTCCGCATTACCATTTACCATCAGTCCGTCTACCACATAAACATATCTCTCACATCCATCATTATTTTTATTACAATTGATAGCGAAAATACAATCGTGTATAACAATAATGGTGTGTTTGGAACCCAGAAAATTATTCCTGAAAATCATTTTCTGAGTTTTCAGTGATTGGCAAGAGGAGAAAAAAATGAGGTCAATGAAAAATGATGCCTTAGTCAAAGGAAAATAAATATGTTTTGGTAAAAAATGACTTTCTCTTTTGTTTTTGGAAAGTCATTTTCCAATCCGCCTACCTCACGCCTTAGCTTCTTCCTCCTCTTGCCTCTTCCCCCTCACACCACTTATATATATATATATATATATATATATATATATATATATATATATATATATATATATATATACTAGAGATCAAATGAGTCCATCCTGTTATATGAGTCCATGTGGACAAATCGGGGCTATTGAATGGTTGAGATCAATGCTTAAATTTTGCCAACTATGCAACGCGAACTATGCAAGTGAAGTGCACATGTTCATAGTACCATACTTGCCGTGCACAGTTGCGAAGTTGTACAATTGGCCAAATCTAAGCCATTGATCTTTCAATGACCCAAATTGGTCCACACGGACTCATATAACAGGGTGGGCTCACGAGAACACTGGCTTATATGGCTATATATATATATATATATTCAAAATTAAATGTTGAAGTGTAATTCTGTTCATTGTCCTGCTCATTTTCTAGAAAATGAACCAAACATACAAAGACAGTTTTCCGTTGTGCAGCTAAACACCGGAACACAAAATATTTTTTTTGAAAAAATGGCTCATTTTTCAGAAAACATTTGCAGAAATCTTTTTCCTGCTTTTCAAACGGAGCCTTACTCTACCGATGAGTGAATTGGTGACTCAGGTAATATCAGTATTGGGCTTGGGATGTTTGAACTAAATGTCAGAGAGTTTTGAGCATATAGTTTCTCTCAAACCCACCTTCTTCCCCACTCACATATCGCATTTAATGCGATATTTATAGGGGGCTCAACATGTGTGACATGTGCTAAACATGCACTGGGTAAGACCGGAGGCCTTGCTGAATTCTCCATGTCACCATGTGTACAGAGGTTCTTGACACCTTCACCTCTCCTGATGTCGGGTTTGATTAAAAGGGGTTGTGCTTTGACGTGCTAAGTACTAGAGGTCGGGTGTCTCGTCCCAGCCTAAAATGATTAGGAAACTCTCAAATATCGGGAAGTGATGCCGCCAACTAAGCATTTACTTGGCGCTATATGACATGTCGACTCGGGTATTTAAGGTTGGTGAGTGATCAGTAAGACTTCCTCTTGACTATTCGATCGGATACCCATCAGGCGGTCGGTGCATACATGTACCCTATCAACAATCATCGTTTTATTTTGCCTATCATCACCTCTTACTCATACTCTCACGTATTTATGTACCGTGCCCTCAGATCAACTACTTAGCTTGCACGTTTCACCACATATATATCTAATTATCATTACTATTACATTCATTACTATCTCGCTTACTTTACTTTGCTAATTGCTATCTATCTACCTTACTATATACATACTCCCATCAATATCACAATTTATCTAACCACCATCATCACATGGATTTATTTATTATTATTTTTTTCACTTAATACTTGCATTTGTATTTTTATGTGAAAATTAATTAAAAATTGCAAATACTTTATATTTTATAAATTGAAACAGAAAATTGTAACAAATCGTATAATTTTCTTAACGGAAGTCGTTCGTGGAAAAGTTTGGTGGGCAAGCATAATGACTCAAATTTTACTCGAGTTTTACTTTCATCTCCTGTCCTCATATATGGCTCATGCTTTCCACTCAGAATTTATTCGTAGTATAATCTTCTAGAAACAAAATAAAAAACAGTACGCAGTAAACATAGAATGAGTTTGTTGTTGATAGTTTTAGTTAATTAAAGTCCACATTTGACAACATTATCATCAATTATTAAATAAATAAACAAACTAAGAATGTAAATAACATCATCTGTGGCCTAGTGCATAAAGCATGATTCTTGTATTAGAAAGTCACGGATTTAATTATTATTAATATATTTTTTTAATTAAGCATGTTATATTTTTTATTTAATAATGAGTAGATGAAACATGATTTTTATACCGTAGCAGTAGGGCTCCGAGGCAGCAATCTCCATGGGAAACTGGTTTTCATCACCTTGACGTTTGTTCATCCGTGCTTAAATTCTCAAACCCGCGTGGGACTTATATCTAATTTAGTCCAATCAATGAAAATTTTTGCAGCTTAGACATTTATAGAATTATCAAAGACTATTTGTTAAATATTCTCTCTAGCCTCTAGAAACTTCATTAGAAAACTGTCATTTTCTCTCGCTCTAATAAAAAAAAAAAAAAAAAAATTCTCTTTTGATCCCTTGACTATTATACATGTATTAAATTTGATCTTTTAAATTAGGTGCATAATTATGTAATTTGTATCACATTTGGTCCATGACTATTAATATTTTCAAATTAAGTGTATGACTTTGTAATTTATATCACATTTGGTTTTACCGTTCAATTTTTCAGACAACTATTGCCGAAATTTCAACTAGAAAAATAATTTTTTTTCAGCAATAATTGACAGAAAATAATCTTTTATTTAGAACATATTATTATTTTGTTGAAATTCCGGCAATAGTTGGCCGGAAACTTGGTCAGAAAATTGAATGACAAGACAAAATGTGATACAAATTACATAGTCATGCACTTAAATTGAAAATATTAATAGTCAAATGACAAATGAAATTTTTTCTTTAAGAAATCTTAAATTTTAATGGTCACAATTTTTATTTTATTTTATTGTATTCTTTTTTCTAAGAGATGAAGATTTGGTTTACAAGCATTATAATATAAGACAAATGCATTATTTTTTGTGGTTTGGTACGTACTATGAAGTATGAACTGATGACATTGTATACTGTCATAAGAAAAAAATGATTAAATAAATTGCTAAACTTATATTTGCGTGACGTTTATACAATTGAGTTATTGTACTTAAAATATATGTAGTCGAAATATTAAATAAGTAAAATATGTATAGTGATGACATTCTTCCGATTTCTTTTAGTACAATTTGAGTTGAAAAACATTTCAGCCTTATTTAGTAACATAGTTAGTTTATCAATCAATTTTGACTTGTTTGACCACTATTAATTTTTTGACTTGGTTAAACAGTCAATATGAATGTTTGATTAATCAGTTTTTTTTGTAACAACTTATTATTCCAAAACGCTAAAATTTAAAAAGCTGCTCAAAACAACTTTTTCGATAAGCTTTTTGAGAAAATAAATTATACTCTTAAAATGTTATTTTGCATGTAATCAGCTATTGACTAACAACTAATTTACCAAACATCTTTCTACAACCAGCTAATACTATCAGTTAGTCAAACCCCCTAACAACTATCAGCTAACAACTATTTGCTAGCATCTTTCCGTCCAGCTATTAAGAGATGTTTGGTTCAAGTTATATAAGATAACCAAAGTTATGTTTTCTTGGAAATATAAGATTCTTATGTTTTGTTTAGGTTATGTAATTTTCCAATGGAATAAAACTTAGCCTCCACCTAAGATTTTTAGCTATTTGAAGAGAATGTTAGATACCCTTACCTTCCTTAGGTATTCTCGCATCTCCTTGTATGTCCTTTTACTAATTCCGTCATTTTAATCTATTGATTTTTCTCCCCCTCAAGACATAAAATGTTTCACAAGTTCAAACTCTTAATTAATTATTCTTAATCATCTACTTCTATATTTTAGCATTACCTTGTTTATATATTTTAATTTTAAAATTTATTGAAATACATACAAATAGGTGATGGATTTAATTAACCCGGGGTAGCCCGAGTTACTAAACCCGGTAATAAAGATAAAGATAGTAAAATGGGAAATGACAAGGAATATATGTCGCGGATACAATTCTTGTATTAATATAGCGTTTGTAGGAAGATTACAGGTAGATGTAATATTTGGAAAAGTGAATCAGATGTCCTAAACAAGACAAGAATGAGACATTTTATACTAACTTCCTCCCAACCGGCCCATGAGAATAGGGTGGGCGGTTGGATCGCCCCCTGACCGAGTCCATGCGCGTAGCGCGCAAGGTCGAGGGCACCCCATCCCGAGGCCGCAGCTAACCGTGAGCACCCCGGGTCGAGGTCGCCTCCAACTGAGGTATGAGGTCGACCTCGGGCCGAGGTCGTCACCAACCGAGGTCGCCTCGAGCTTCACAGATTGGTCTGCTCCGAGCCCGTTTCTAATATATCCATCTTCAGTCCCCCCACTCTCCGAGGTGCGAGTCTTCGTCAGCGAAGGAGAGTAGTCCAGAACCAAAATCCAACTCAAAATTACGAGAATAATTACTTGT